TATAGAAGTGAAAGTGTACACTTTTTTGCTCATGAACTCAACAACTAAGGCTTGCTACTCTAGATACATGCGCCACGGTCGTGGATTGCGCGAACTTCCTCGCCGACTACCAGAGTTTGGAGAAGGCAGTGGACAGAAACTGGGTTCTTGTTAAAGGGTTTTATTTAAGTTACCATGATAGGGATCTATAGTAAACCATAGGGTTTCCTTATTATGGTAACGTAATTTAAATCCCCTAACAAGAACCCAGGAAAGGAGCTGGGAGCGGAAAAAGGCGATCAGAGAACCATCGTCGACTTGCTGATTGACCAGGCAGAGTTTGCGAATGTCTTGGTCCTGAATAAAACCGACCTCGTATCCTCTGAAGAACTCGGGAATCTCAAAGAGCTACTGGGGAAGCTGAACCCGGGCGCACGCATCATCGAGAGCCAGCACGGAGCGGTGAATCTTGAGTTCCTCCTCAACACAAAGACCTTTGATCTGGACTCTGCAAGCATGCACCCAGGCTGGCAGACTGAACTGAGCGGAGTCTCGCACACGCCGGAGACGGAAGAGTAGAGTACGGAATCTCGAGTTTCTGGGTTCTTGTTAAAGGGTTTTTATTTTATGTTACCATGATAGGGAGCTATAGTAAACAATAGGGTTTCCTTGTTATGGCAACTTAACTTAAATCCCCTAACAAGAACCCAGGTTTCGTGTATCGCAGCGACCGGCCCTTCCACCCAGATCGCTTGGAGGAGCTGCTGAGACGTGCGAAGCCGCTTCCGGGAGTGCTTCGCTCCAAAGGCGAAACCCAAGGGGTTCCCTTTCAGGGTTCCTTTTAGGGTCTAGGGTTCTAGGGTTTAGGGTTTAGGGTCTATTCGGTTTAGGGTTTAGGGTTTAGGGAATACATGCCAATACTATTTCGGGGGTTCCTTATAATGATTCTATAGGTGTAATACTATATTCTAACATTATGAAGGCGCTTTTACATGAGCTCCTGCAAGGGATCTAGAAGTGTTTCAGAGTATAGCCTCTGGGTTCCTGAATGTAACTGCGATACGATAGGGTTTAGGGTTTAGGGTTTTGCACCCCACCGAAACCCTTCATGTGTATTTTGGCTCAAAGAATACAGAACCCTTCCGTAAATCCCCTAATTTCAGGAACCCTGTCACGGAACCCGTTTTAGGACCCTGTTGAAGCCTTTTAAGGGGCCCTTACAAGGAACCCTCTTCTAATCAGTTAGGGCCCCAAAGGCTACGCGTGGAGTGCCAGCGATCATCTCTTGGCGGTGGAATGGAGTCAGGCTGGTGCCTACACGACTTTGAGAGGAGCCTACAGGCGAGGTTGAAGAAAACAGGCAGGTTTATGTTCAGCTTAGTGTGGTGATCATTCGTGCAATGATTTGTGAAAATTCTTACTAGTATTTCGAGGACGACTAGTAGCACTACCTACCGCCCACTACTACTCCTCCTCCTGTTGATGCTGCTTACACTTTTGAGCGATATGTGGTAAACCAAGGCAAACGAAAATCGGAAAAGGGAACAGGACAGGAGCGGGATTGTTCTGCAGCCCCCAGGTGGTTGCCACTTGGAATGTCTCGGCGGACCTGGTCAGAGCAGAATAAGGCCAAGTATGGCGAGAGCCTCTATGGCGACCGGCGACAGGAGTTAGTCTTCATCGGTGCCATCGATGAAGCAGCCATCCGCAAACTGCTCGATGAAGCCTTGGTCACGGATGAAGAGTTCGCCCTGGGACCGGAGACATGGACCAGCTGCTAGGACCCAGAGTAGGCCCTTATTCCCCTTTTTTAGGGTTCAGGTTCCCTTATAAAGTTCTTTAAACCCAAAAAGGTCACCCTTTCTATTCCTAGGTTTCTCTTGGGTCCAGGCTGGAAGAAGCTCATTACCAAAGAGGCCTTGGGTCCCGAGGACCTGGGCCGAGAGGCCGAGTTCGAAATCGGAGTTGTAAAGACGGAGGGCGACAGGCTCGGGGTGAGCATCGATGAAACAGAGGGGATGCGGGTGACCTACATCAGGCCGGGGGGATTGATCTACAGATGGAACATGGAGCACTTCAGGAAGAATCCCGAGATGGTCATCCGAGCTGGCTACAACATCGTGGCCATCAATGGCGTCACAGGCCTGAGGGAGAAGAAGCAGATGGTCAGCGCATACCGGCACTTGAAAATGACGATCTCGCGCCGTGTCCCAGGAGCGAAGGACCGGCGCTTTCCTTAAAGCCTACCTTAACCCCAAATAACCTACCGTTTTAAGGACTTATATAAAGCATTCACAACAAGGAGCCCTTAAAAGGTAGGTTCTTTACTTGGAGGTTCATGGGCAGTTGTAAGTCGGGTTATAAGTAGGGTAACTATCCATATTCGGGGACCTATAACCCTACTACTTATAACTACCCATGAACCTCCAAGTAGGGTCCAGGTAAGGGCGGTCGTCGAACTAGCAATCCCTGGGCCTCTCAAGCCCGAAGGCTCCAGTGACCGAAATCATGGGTTACCGAGTTGCACATCATTACATGGTTCCTTAAGGACGAAAGGAGCCTTAAAAGTAGGGGCCCTATACCCTTACACCATGAAATTCTATATGATCTATGAACCTTAAACCCTTTTAGGGTTCACTTCGTCCTTAAGGTTAGCAACCTACTAAGTCTATTTCAGGTCACTGGAGCTCCCCGGAAGTGTTTAGTGCAGGGAAATTTTGTCAATGTCCCTATTACTGATCCCTGCTTCTGTGCAGTGGGAGAGGGGCCACGTGCAATAGTTTCGTTGCTGTCCCTAACCCCAAAACCCCTAAACCCTAAACCCTAAACCTAAACCCTAAACCCTAAACCGTCGACAGCGACATTGTGCATGATGCTGGTGGCTTAAGCCCATCGGCATGCTGAGGGCGGTTTCGATCTTCTTGGCATTGCCGGAGCCATGGCTCCTTGAGCGTCGGCAAGAAAACGATTCCAGGTAGAACCTGCCACTATTGTTTTTTTGTAGGTTAGGGGCCTAAATAATTCCCAATACTATTGTTTAGGATTCCTTATCATCGTTGTATAGTATAATGTAATATAATATAATATAATATATATTATAATATCATATTACAGTATATTATATAACATACACCCCAAAGCCTATGTTAATTATTGAGTCCCCTATATCATTTGTTGCAATCCTACAACTAGTCTAAACTGGACCCCAAGCCCCTGCAGCCGACACTCCAAACACCCACTTAAGTTTAAGTTTTAGGATTTAGGGTTTAGGGTTTAGGTTTAAGGTCTAGGGTTTAGGGGTTCAGGGTTTATAGGTACTATAATATTACGTTTAAGTTTTACTGATTTTAACGCCTTATCGTGGCTACAGCTAGGACCCTGAATAAGGCCCAATTTGGGTGGAAGTAAAATCGTGTACCCTAAATCCTAAACCCTAAACCCTATTGGGTGTTCATATGCCACGCAACCGCAAGGTTCAGGCGGCGGGTTCGGCAATCCTGGCATTCAGAGCACCCAATACCCCATTGAGGAGTATGAGGGTTTCCCAGACTGGTGTCTATTGTTTCATTGGGAGCCGCTTCACATCTTTCCCAGAACTCAGGATTATGGGATCCTTAAGGGAGGGGGTTCTAAGAGGGGTATAGAACCCAATAATCCCCAACTCCCTAAGGATCCCTAGGACCTTAAGGATCCGATCCTAAACCCTAAACCCTAAACCCTAGGACCTTAAGGATCCGATAGCAGGAGTATTGAAGCGTGTTGGGCAGAACCTCAGGGTTTCTTCTTGGGTTCATTCGGTTGATGACATAAATCCTGCAGTACCCATAATAAGGAACATACCAAAAATCCCATAGTTTAGGGTCCTTAAGGTAATGCAGGGTTCATATCATCAACAGTAGAAGGGACATGAGTTTAGGCGTTCGATGGTTTTTTTGGGGGGTTAGGGGATTTGAGACTTTAGAGTTTAGCAAGGAGAGAGTGATCTGGACTTCTTCACTTTCCAAGAGGATCCTAAGAACCTATACTAGTAGAATGTAGGAATGCAGGGTTTCAATATTAGGGTTTAGGGTTTAGGGTTTAGGATTATGATTTGGGGAAAGTATCCCCCAGAACAGTAGCTAGGACCCGTTGGGCTGACCAGTTTGAATGGGAATTATGGTATATTCCTTATTATGTAATGCAGGATTTATATCATCAACCGTATGGAACCAAGCAGATCCAACAACCCGTCTTTGTAGGAAGTGGATTCCATTCCGGCACCCAGAACGACGAATTACGCGTTTCTGCATCGCTGTGAGGATAAATATCTATCCTATCCTAAGCTCGCCCCTACACCCTAAACCCATCTAAACCCTACACCTGAACCACCAGGATGTTTTCGATGCAGTGGTCTAGTCTCATGGGGATTCCTTACTCGTAGTCTTTTTTTCGTGGACCCCGAAGCATCCCAAAGCTTTGTTAAGATCATCAAAGGGCCTACGCTGTTGCAGTAGAAGGGTTTCGATTCGGGAGTATGGGGGGGGATATGGCTGCTGATGACCCAGACCTCTATGTTTTGTTCTAGGCCTTTCTGGGCTTGCGGACAGGAAATACCAGTGTATACCCTGAAATCCCAGATTGGCGTACCTCATAGGCCCCTAAGTAGTTCCTTTTTGTGGTTTATATTTAGAACCCTACAAGGCAATCCCCAAAAAGGAACTACTTCGGGGCCTATGGCCCTAAACCCTAAACCCTAAACCCTAATCCCCAAAAAGGAACTAC